AAAAAGGACCCCCACAATTAACAGTGATTCTATTGTCAGTAAGATTAAAGAGTCTCCTATATAGTGCACCCAAGACAAAAAGGGCTAGGGCAAGTTTCTTGTTCTAGCCATTTGGATGGCTATGCCAACATATTCTCTGGTCATCTTGAAACTAGGGACACGTAGAACGAACCAACATAGCCAATGGAGGAGGAAAGCAACGTGTTCTATGAATATGGCAGCAAAGGATTGAGAAGCAAAGAAATAGTTGATAAGGTCATTGCATCCTATGCTAGAAGGGATATTAATGAAATCACAACCAGAATTAGTAGAAAGATAGGCATTCACTTCTATACCTATCGACGGAAACCCAGTTAAGAAGATGGTGTCTAAAATCGTTGCAGGAACACCAATCAACCATCGATTCATGTGCAGATCATGGGTAGAAAGCTTAATCATTCCAAAAATGAGCAGTCCAGTGCTGGTCAGGGTTGATCAATGAGTGAAGTGGGTTGGTTCCTTGATTTCATAATTTCCATAAGAGCTGGGATTGGTTCAACATTAGGGTTTCTCCCTCATGAACATGGTAATGGTCAAAAAACCCCTCGCAGATGTACGATTTGAAAGAGGGACCAAGAGTGAAAACCCCACTTGAATTAGGGGTGGGAATTAAAACCCTTTGATCTACGAACTCGTTTGCGGCTTACTTAATATCGGAAGGGAATCTCGGCGCGAAAGGGATCTCAGAGACAATTGAAGATGATAGATTTTGCTTTTTGGGAGCCATTGTAGTCAGCAGAAGAAGAATCACTATGACATTTTGAAAACAAGAAGCAAAGGAAGACGAGGGAAGTAAAAGGAACCGTTCAGACACTAAGAGCTTTTAAAAATATGTTTAGTGGAAACAACGGTATTGTCTACTCTTTTATTTGAGTTAATTAGAGTTAAAACTCAATTAAATGAGGGGGTGTTGTTTGAACTTAAAATATAAAATTATAAGAACATTCGATGCATGGGCAGTTTGCAAGTTTGAAGGCATTAAAGGGTTGCCACATGTTAGTATCTGAAGAAGAAGTAGGAAATGATCAATCATGACCTTGTTTAAAAGAAGGGAATAATTGTTTGGGAGTTACAGACCAATTAACCGTCAATGGAAAGAGAAATCGTAGAAGGAAGTGGTTAAAAAAAGCGGAGAAGAAGGAAGTGGAAGAACAACTCAACCCCCCCCCCCCCCCCCCCCNAAAACCCCCCCCCCCCCCCCCCCCCCAAAAAAAAAAAAACAAGACCCACGATTAGGACATTTGGCAGTAGTGTAAAAGTTAGTTTTAGGGAGTAATACGTGTTGTAATCAAAGACTATTAATTCAGTCTCTTTGTAACTGAAACTCATTCAATTAAATTAATAAAGGGATTTTCTTTTCTTAGTTTATTATTATGTGTGCTCATCATTGTTCAATTTTATCTAAGGAAGTCCTAAAACAAGGCAAATTGAACCTATCAACAAGCAATCGCTTGAGAACTGTCTATAAATTGAGGCATTTTGTCGAGTGCAATAAATTTTGGAGCAATAGGATGCTTGTGATCTTTATATTCTCTCACGAGATTTGTGGAGAAGGCATCTAGTTCGTTCACTTTTATTTTGCAGGCTTTGATGGAATACAAGCCAAGAAACAAATTTGTTATGGGTGTCTTATATTCTACTACTAGTAGGAAACTAGTTTGGACTTCTTAAGGATTTGAAAAGGTAGATGTCTTGGAATTCCATTTCAAGTAAAAGAACAATTAGACACTCCATTGTACAAGAAGACGAAGTATTTTCAGTTTATAAAAAATTATAGACCACTCAGTTTCTTTTGAGGATTTTGGCCTTCACTTTGGACATTCATGTTTAATTCTATTATATGAGTTAGAGAATTATATGTAATATTTCTTTATTGACTATGAAACTCTGCCGCTACGCTTCGCTCGTAGATGTAAGCTTTCAAGCTGATCCATGTAACTATGTGTTCTATATTTTTCTATTTTGTTCTTTTTGGTTGTTTGTGGCCTATGTTCATAACAATGGACTTCCATTGAGCCTTTGCAACTTCACCTTTCAAATGTGTAACACGATCATAAGTTTTCCTTAAGTAAATATAACTTCTCCTTCCAAAGGTGTAACACAATTATGGGCTTCTCTTGAATAATTATAACTTCTCTTTTTAAAGGTGTAACTTTACTATAAATAGTTGTAACTGTTGGTACAATACCAATTTTTTTTTTGAGGTACCATAGTCTTTTCTATAGTGTTGTGTCATGTTTAAAACCAAGATCATTAAAATTAGCTTAAGTCATATTTAATCTAAGATCGGCTCAAGACAATTTAAGGCCTAAAATAACAATTTTAAATAAGATTTTTTTTAATGTTAATATCAAATTCTTTTTATTTAAGTATCATTTTTCTTATTATTTAATAGCCAAAATTACTAATTAAGTTTTTTTAATTCATGTTTTAGTAGCGTATCATTTCCAAATTATAGTATAACTAATTTATTTTATCTTTCTTATGACCGCAGATCTTCAATAAAATTTTATACAATTTTTTTTAAATAAAAAGTTAGTTTTTTTCTTGGGTCTTAGATTTCTATGAGCGACTTATAACACAATTTTTTTCTTAGGTCTTAGATTTCTATGAGCGACTTATAACACACTTAGACTTCTAATCTTTTTTTTTTTTTATAATTTACAGGGGAGGGAGTGATGAGGTTCAAACTCGTAACCTAACGGTCCAACGATAGATTATGGAGGCCATAAGCCAACCATTGATCCTCACATAGACTTCTAATCTAGACTATATTATACACACATAAATTTTGGGGCTTTTTTGTATATAGGAACTATTATTGTACTAATTTTTTGATAGAGATGACTCTTAATAACTAAATGTATAAATTTTAATAATAGGTAGTTTTGAACTCTTGTCTAACAACAAAAAAATAGAGAGAGAGAGAGAGGATAACCATGATTACCAAAACCAAAAAAAAAACAGGAGACAATTTTTAAATTGAAGCGTGGGAGGCTCCTCATATTAGTATATTATTTATTTATTTATTTGCTATTGTTTTAGTATATTATATTGAGAGAGTCAAATATAGTTGGCTTTAGGGGCCTTCCCTAATGGTGGGCCGGCTGGGCCATCAAGCTGTTGCCTAGATGGCTCAAGGGTTGAACCGGCCGTGTTAAATTACTTATTATTGTATATAATCAGATTTTTGTTGCATGTCATGTATAGTCTATTTACAAATCGTGCTTAACGAGTTCATGTCGTGTTTAGTCAATTTTGTGTCGATCTATTTATTTAGAGCAATGCGGTTATTGGATTAATTGTGAGTTCCATTGTTAGATAGAGCTCACAATCAATCCAATTATTGTATATTCTTAAGTCCTTAAATTAGGTCTTCAAATAATATTTTTTATTTATTTAACAAGTTTAACAAATTCACCTTTTAATTTTGCCCCAAAATTGGTATATCGGGTTCGCGGTTCATGACTAATGCTTATGGCAGTGCATAAGATTCGGAAAACCCGTAAGTTCATATGAGCATTAAAGCCTCCTTTAAAGATGCCCGTTAGACTTGGAATCAGACACCAGCAAAAGGACTCAAACTGAATACCTCATAAGTCTACTTAGCAAAGTCACTATCATAGTTGTCAAATCGCGATTCGAATCGTGAATCGTACGATTCAACATAAAATTTAAATAAAAATAAAAAATAATACTAAATATTTAAAAATATTAAATATTAAATATTATTACATTCCAAAAATAATCAATTGACATAATCACATCGTCTAAATGGAAAGACACAATCCTTTTGCTTCATTTTCATCTTTTATTTAACCATTTTTAAATTCAACAATTTGAAAAAAAAAATTCATTAAAAAGTCATGGCTATTCAAGAACCAAAATAGTGATACCTAGTATAAATTAAGTTATAAACATGAATGAAAAAAATACAAATAAAAAATTGATTGAGAAAAAATATATTGCCAACATTTTGAAACAAAAAATTAGAATCAAACAAACTACCGATGAAAAAATTGAGAACAGAAATTAACCGATGATCCGAGAGCATTAGCCTTGACCTTTAACTTTAGACAATGCAAGACAAGCTTTAGACGACGTTAGTAAGAGAATGAGCAAAGAAGTTGAGTTTTTATTAGGGCATGAGTTCCTCTATAAATAAAACGATTTTATTTTACTGTTTAACGGACAAAACTACGTCATTTGCCAAAAATTTGCGTTTAAAAAAAATGATTGAATCGTGCAATTCGTGAGATATGAATCGAATCATACAATTCAGATGTGATTCAACTCTAAAACGATTCTCAGGATACGAATTAGTTTATACCTGTATTGAACCAAATCATATAATTTTGATAACTATTGTCGTGACCACAGCCTCAAGGCCATCTTTCTGTCTGATGACATGTCCTGCAGACTGCAGACTGCAGACTGCAGACTGCAGCACTGCAGCCTACAGACTACAGACTACCAACCCACCTTCTTTTTTTGGGCTTGCATCTACAAAAGACATTCACTGAGACGTTTAGTAGCAATATTTCCACCAAGGGAGTGAAGCTTGTTGTTGACAGATCAGATCGGGTTTCATAATCTGGAGTAAAAGATTCGAACCTGCTGATACCAAAAACTAACGCCTCAACACTTGGCTATACTCCATACAGCCAGTTTTGGACGGTAGAACAGCGAGAGGGGGAAGGGAGAAGCAGGGCTCGTAGAACGAAATAAACCATGCAAGGCCCCGGGGATATAGCAACAGTATGGATCCATAACCAAGATCTAAACAATTCAAGCTCCTAGTAACAAAATCTGGGTATTGACTAAATGTACAACCACAGCCAAATTTTGAAACAATATCATAGTCAAAGAGCAAAATTGGAATTTATCAATATCAAACAAAAAACTCGAATAAGAAAAATAACATTATTATGTATAGCAGTCACATCTACAGACTCACAANAGAATAAGAAAAATAACATTATTATGTATAGCAGTCACATCTACAGACTCACAATTCAAAATAACTAAATAAGTCAAAGAAATAAAATAAATGAACTAATCAATACAAAACAACGGGGACCCAAAAATGGCCCTTCTTCTCGACCAGTTATGACACATAATTAGCTACTCTCAGGATCAAAATCGACTACATTATGATATGGTCTTTTTCCTTCCAAGCATACACAACTATGACCTCTGGGAAAATATACAGCTCGCAGAAAATCACCTGTTCTTCACTGATCCACCTCATCGCATGCTGTAGTACAGTTGCTTGATTCTGATGGATGTAGAATGGAAGGAACATTGTGAAGAAAAAAAATAAAATTGAATATGTTTGACCCATAAGGTTACAGAAGTACATTCCTGCAAGAGGAAGAGCAAAGTTGCTAGAATAGGCTCTCGCATGCATTAATATCAGAAGCTTGTAAATTCAACACCCCTTCCCCAGAAGGACTGAAGCTAACAATCCTCATTGCAGCAGTAAATATGTCTTTCTTGAACCTGTCATCCTCAATCTTCTTTAGGATCTCTCCGACTGCCTTGAAGTCTAATCCCCCAGCCAAAACTAGTATTCCAATAACCTCACCAAAATTATTTGGTGCTTTTGGTAAATCAATGCCAATATCATCCAACATTGACCCATAATGCAGACATCCAGTCCCCATGTCCTTAGCAGTAATAACCTTTTTGGCAAACAAGTCCTCCAAAAGTTTTGCAACTGGTTCTACAAAGGGAGGACTTTTCTCCAATGCGAGTGAAATGGCTTTCCTTGACAAGCTCAGGATAGTAATCAGGTGACTTCAATTCCTCCACACATAGCAATGCTTCATCCAAGATTCGGACACTAAAGTATTCTTCCAGAAGAGACATTGTTTTCCTCCTAAGCTCATTCGAATTCAACCTCACAGGAGCCAGTGGTTTGCCAGCAACTGGAGGCACAGATGCAATTGGAACTGGTCTTGCAGGGGTAAGGACTTGAGATGCAGGGTCCATACCCAAGCCAAAGTTGGGTGGGTGGACTGGAGGGGCACCAGTATTACTTTGCAACAGAGCACCAGTCCTACCACTTATGGAACCAGTACCCTGAGGCAGAACTTGAGGGTTCAATGATGGAGACTTGCCAATATTAAGTGGCTGAACACGTCCAGCAGGCTGAACATTAAATCCATCACCCCTTGGCATTGACCGAGACCTGGGAACCTCCCAGTATTCGTTATCAATTCCCGGCATCCCAGGCATCCTCCTGGTTCCTGGCATCATGCCACCAGAGCCAGGCCAATTCATGGGGATACCCCTGGGGCTGATATTACCTTGTGTACCAGAAGCAATACCACAATTATTTCTAATGCTTGCAGTAACACCTGGGCGCAACCCCAGATTCTTCTCTGCTTCTGAATGAATCTCATTGATGGTTTTGGCTTTCACCTGTGAAATCATGGTAAGAATAAGTCAACAGGAAAACAAATCAACACAGTTAAATAAAAGCAGTATAAGAAGGATCACCTCTTCCTGTCTTGGAACCCAATTATTTGCACGCCGATCAAGAACATCTCGAACCATGAATCTCAATCGGGGTACCAATTGACGATTTATTGACAGTTCCTTCAATCAATTGAAGTAAATATCATTAATGCGCTTTGATTTTTGGCTCTCGTCGAGCTGTTTACCAATGGTGTTGAAGAACTGACATATGGCCTCAACATTTTCCTCTTCTGGACAAGTCTTGCTATCTTGCCCTAGAAGTTCCTGCTTATATAATACATCATAGTAAGGCCAACTTCTAAAAATCAAGATGTCTCAAGGTATGTTCAGAGAGAGAGAGAGAGAGAGAGAGAGAACCTGCACAATGTGATGAACAATCTTTTCAGGAACCATCTTCTGTTTCAAAAGCTCTCCAATTAGACGTATGTTTCCAAGAGTGCGAAGCTTGACCATTTTTCCCTTATCTCTGCGTTCAGAAACTTGCTCAGGAGCAGTCATCTGCCTTACTTCATCCCTCAGTTTGTCTGCTCCTTCAAATGCCTCCTGGCAAATATTCAAAAGAACTCGCTTAAAAGTGATATCTTTTCCACCGGGTTCATCAGATGGGAAAGGAGGGAGCTTCTCATTGAGATCGAAACACAATAGAGAATACATGGGACAAAACGTGGGCTCCAGCACAGCCTTGTCAAATATCAAGGAGATTACTCCCTGCATTGCAAGCAGAAATTACCTAAGATTTTACAGTCTCCAAAACATACTGCCATAATCAGCAAAAAAAAAAAAAGACTAGAAAAAGAAGCTCATAGGTTGAGAATAACTAGATAGCTATACCTTTACAATATCAGCTGTTGTGATCCCAGAGTTGATCAATTGACCCTTGAGAAGATCAAACTTCTCCAGAGTCAGCTTGTTCAATATGCTGCAAAAAAAAAGAGTCGTCAACATCAAAAAGTGACACGATGTATCTTATCATGTCATGAAAAATTAAAACTGGAAATCTATTCTGGTCATCAAACTGCTTTCTACTCTACTAGTCACAACATTTCATGCTGCTATAATATTCAAGGGGAAGTAATTTAATTGTTATCTTTCATCGTATTGGCAGAGCTGACATTAGCAAAGAATATTAACCTTCTTCAAACAGGACCAAAATGATAAATTTCGCCCTAGTTTACTATAGCTTAAATCTTTGGAAATTTGTGAAGAAAAGGCTTCGAACCATAAATATATGATATCTTTATTGCTCAGGTAGAAAAAGAGTTCCTGCGCTGTAGTAGATCTCAACCATAACAGGAAAATAGGACATTCACATGATTTTAGTCACCCAAAGTAGAGTAATTCCAGAAAGTTGCAGAGGTTCAACTTTAAACTTCACCACTCCATCAATTGGTCATATGAAGTTATTCCACATCCACCGGCAAACATGAAGCTAAACTATAGTATTAAGCTTCATAGTACCCTTTCACTGTCTTCAAGACCCGTTCTTTCTCAGAGAGATTCCCCCTTCGAGCTGACTAAGGCACCTCAGCCTTGATTAGAGCAGCAGCAGCAGCACCTGCCTGGTTCAAATACCAGAAAAAGAGCTCATATTAGTACCAAAAAACTATTCTCCTCAGACAAATTTTCAGAGCAGACTTGCTACAGCTTCACAAATCACATTACTTTGCATGACAACGGATATTGGCACAAAATTTGTAGGACCCCTTGGCTCAAGCTTTACCTTTCTCCCAAAATCTGTACACAACTTCTTTTGAATTTTCAATTGGAAGGGAATTTATCCTTCTCTCTCTCTCTCCCCATGTCAGAGCTCTACCATATGTAACCTCCAACCTCTTCCTCTCTCATTTCAAGTCATCTTCAACTCCTACCACTTGAGTGTTATTCACTTTTCGGTTCATTTTCTATTTACTTCACACTAAATGACACAATTTTAATCCGCGCCAAAAAGTAATGGAAGGCATAGTACACCTTATGTAGTAGCATAAACACATCTCTCTCTCTCTCCCCCCCTCCGCTTTCCTTTCAGAGCTCCACATATGGTAAACTCCAACCTCTTTCTCTCATTTCAAGTCACGTTCAACTCCTACCACTTGAGTATTATTCAATTATATCTACACTAAATGCCACAACTTTAATCAACACCAAAAGCCATGGGAAATGTACACCTTGGGTGTGTTTGGGTATTGGGGTTGGACAGGGTAGGATTACTTATTTTATATCCTAACCCATCCAAGCCAAACCCACTCATACACTTTAAAACCCTAACCTTTGAATATATTCAATCTCAACCTTTGTTTGAAAAACAAATGTATAATTTAGTGGGTCCCATAGATTACACAAATAATTTTATAATAATTTACTATTCTACCCATGACTCTATCCATTCCAATCCAAATCAATCCTATCATATGTTTGAATTAGTGGATTATCCTACTAAAGTTATACATTTTCCACATATACATAAAAACATATAAAAAAAAATAATTTTTTTGGTTATGAATAACTTTACATATGACTTTGATAAACATCGATGAAATGAATTGAACAATATAAAATTTAGTTATTAAAATAGAATTCTCAGTTTAAGAGTAAAATTGTACAAAATAACATAATACGGCAATAAAGCAGAACTAACCCCAAAAAAGTTAAAAAAAAACCCCATCAACTAACCCACAAACTATATCTAAAGTAAGTTATGCAGCTACTGCAAACNTCAAAAAACCCCCCATCAACTAACCCACAAACTATATCTAAAGTAAGTTATGCAGCTACTGCAAACCCAAAACATCGAATCCATTTAAAAAGAAGTAATTCCGAAAATTTTCCTCCAACAACAAACCAACTCAATACGTTTCAAATTTGCAGAAGTGAGATATCAATAACTCTCGTTTGACAGCTGAGAAAATGAAAAAGCATAAATGACATTAGACACTTCATAAAAAATTGATTAACCGAGTCCACGGGTCCTGAGTTGTGCAAATTGCATTTAATTTTTGTTTCTGAGAAACCAAACCGAACGTGATAGAATGAGAACTTCAAATCAAGAAGAGAATGCGAAGGCAATTGACTTCGGAGTCCATCAATAGCGAAAAGCTCGATCGAAATCTTCTAGTCTGACTTCCAACGGTGGAGCAAAACGATAGAGGGGGACCATAGGCTCAACATCGTCGACGACAAAAATTTTCCCCTAAGATCGGAAAATTTCCATTTCTTGCCCAGAATCTGAACAGCCAAAGTAGCAAAGCAAGAAATCAGAGTGAAAACCGTAAATCGTTTCTTTTATACAAGGGAGAGATATGGCGGGAAATGACTCTCACCTTTTTCTCTTCCAATCGAAGAAAGAGAGAGATAGAGAGGGCGATGAGACACCTACCCACGGATGCAGAAAATGGAGGACCTCCCCAACACCACGATCGTTTTCGCCTCTGTGCGAGCCCTTGGACGAGCTCAGCTGATAGGAGAAAGAGGGATTCGACGCTGTGAGTGGGTGCAGAAAGAGAGAGGGGCAAATATGTCTGTGTGTGGGGGGTAATCCATTGCCTGGGTTTTAACCCATGGAGGGGGTGGGTTAAGTGTGACCGGCCTAGGAGGGTTAAAGGGTACTGTAGCAATCGGGTCAAAGCCTTGACCCGGGGTTGGTATCCAGCCTCAAAAAATGACTTTCAAAACAAGGGATTTCTGGGTCCCACTCCTATTTTATCCCATCCTACTAGTGAATAACCAACTTTAACCCACTATCCAAATGCCCCCCTTATGCACTAGCATAAACACAGATCTCTGTCTCTCTCTTTCACACACACACAAAAAAACACACAGATACAAAATAGATTTTCTGCAATGGACACACTAATATATTGAATGGATGAAACACGATTACAACATCAAGCATGAAGGTTGATTTTTTTGGTAGACTGATGTTTGCACCCTAGCATCTGCTCAGAAATGGACCACTATAAATTTCTAATAGTCTTATCATATGACTACAAAGCACAGAATAAAAATCTGAACACAGAAGAAAACCAAGAACTATGATATAAATCCTGTACTAGGAAGAATACCTTAAGATTTTTCTATGTTAGGTCTAATCTTCCTTTCACATATCACGGTTCCGATATTGTACAAGACACTAAGACATATATCAGTATTCAGTGAAATGTGCTCTATGGTAGCTACATTATAGCTACATAATAAAACAGATGATAAAACATACAGTTCTTATTTTATGAGAAGAGTTGGTCTCTTCATGGAAATCTGTAAAATTAAATACAATTTTTGGTGGGTTCGTTAACCACCGAGTGAAGCATTTTTCTCACCCATTCTTCCTCAATTTTTTACTGACATACTGAGATTACATTTTCACAAACCATTACATCCTGTGACAACTAAAAGTAGGCCTTCAAGTGAAGTTTGACAATGTTTGACACATAAACATAGTGCAGGACTCAAATCCTTTTAAGCAGGCCATTGCCCGCAAGGTGCAGGAAAGGGTGATTCAAACTAGACCTACATACTCGAGATTCAAGCCCAAGCTTTGACACTTGCCCCTTGCAATGACCTCTATTATATATTACAAATTTAGACACATCTCCTTAGAATAAAATCAAACACAAGAATATTGACAGGTACATAACTCCTTAAGTAATTCGGCAATAATGCCATTAGACATAAGTAACTTCCTAGCATACACAGAATAAAACTTTAGTTGTGTAAGTCACTCGTGTGATTATGAATATATTATCCATTCACTCCGTTGCAAAATGANAAATAACTCCTTAAGTAATTCGGCAATAATGCCATTAGACATAAGTAACTTCCTAGCATACACAGAATAAAACTTTAGTTTGTAAGTCACTCGTGTGATTATGAATATATTATCCATTCACTCCGTTGCAAAATGAGCCACATATCTAGTGAAAAAACCCGGACTCCTAAGAAAAGATCAATACTTGAAGCAGAATCCAGATTTCGAATAAAAGTTATAATGAAATGCAGACAAGCAAACAAGTAGCATATGGGCATGACGGCTTAATTGATTGAGAAAATTACTTTATTGTATCACCAGACCTCAGATCAGAACACAATCAAAAAGCACTTCATTAAAGATTCTGCCATGGCAGCATTGACAACCACTAAACAATAAACCCAACGCTAACTCCAACATCAATTAGTTCAACAATAGAGCAAACACATTTACAAAGAAAAATATAAGTGCAAATAAAGATATAGACTACAAGTGTATTATTTTATAGAAAAGCTAAACGTCCAAACACAGATGGAGATTCTAAAGTTTATCACAGCACTGCACACCATGTATAGGTAGGGAAACAAAAGAGGAGGGAGGATATAAAGATAAGTTTTGGTATCTAGACAAGAGTGAATACCCCTGGGGTAGACGAGATTTGTGCTCTTGCAAACTGCAAATTGAGCTGGTCTTGTCGATTATATTGGTATGCTTCCTGCTGTCTAGAGTCAAATCGGTCACCAGACTCTCTATTATCCCAAAACGTTTCTGCTGGCCTCTCTTCTATAGAAGTTGGAAATTGTGCAGTCCGATCACGCCAATCACGATTGTCCAGCTCAGAATAACGACTCTGAGACTGATTTTGCAGCTAAAAAACAAAGAGAGTACTATACCATAAATAAACCATAGACCAATAAGATTAGTTTCCAGAATAAGGGACCATTAAATTTGATTCGGCAAAACACAGAAATGCCAATTATAAATTTGATTAATTTCCAAAAAACATTTGTCAGGCAAAGAAAGGGAAACATATACCAATGTTTCATTTTTGTACCAACTTAATCACGTTACCGATCAGATTGGGAAAACGAGGAGAAGAATAAGTGTTTAGTAATATCAAAGGAGGTCAGAAACTCACACTGCTTTCTGCACGACTCCAGCTATGATCTTCGCCAAAAAATTCAGCTTCAACCTCTTGTTTGATTTTTAGAATATCCTCAGGAATGCTAGCAGCCTATGAAATAATTGTCAACACAATCAGACACGATATAAGATGTTAATGATAGTGCATATAGATGATAGATTGTTCGCAATATATTACATTTCGTGATAGGGTGGTAGCGGCATAAATTCAATGATAACTGATGTGCATAAATTCAATGAGAGGTGATATATTAGACAGAATTATAAGACAAACAACCCCAAATAACAAGTACGAGTTCATAGAATACCCAGAAAAGCATAAAAATATAAAATACAGAAGGGGGGAAAAACAGCAATTTGAAAAAGAGAAACGAAAATTGACTCGCAGACCTAGGCAACAGANGCGGCATAAATTCAATGATAACTGATGTGCATAAATTCAATGAGAGGTGATATATTAGACAGAATTATAAGACAAACAGCCCCAAATAACAAGCACGAGTTCATGGAATACCCAGAAAAGCATAAAAATATGAAATACAGAAGGGGGGGAAAACAGCAATTTGAAAAAGAGAAACGAAAATTGACTCGCAGACCTAGGCAACAGACTAGATAAAAAGAGAAATGAAACCACAGCAAAAATGGCAGATGGTAAAGTATGGCATAAGTATATTATGAGAATATAAAAAGAAAATCCATCTGATTTCCATTTAAAGATTACAATGTTTGCCACCAGCTACAAAATCTACTTTTTTTTTTTTTTGACAAGACACTACACAATCTACTTTTTGTCACAGGAGGGAGTGGCTTGTAACCAACTAACANGTAAAGTATGGCATAAGTATATTATGAGAATATAAAAAGAAAATCCATCTGATTTCCATTTAAAGATTAAAATGTTTGCCACCAGCTACAAAATCTACTTTTTTTTTTTTTTTGACAAGACACTACACAATCTACTTTTTGTCACAGGAGGGAGTGGCTTGTAACCAACTAACAAAATACCAAGAAAAAAAACATGAGCAAACAATGAGACATGCAACAACATCACCAAACCACTAACATATACAAGCTTTAAGAGCATAGAGCAAAAACAATTACCTCCCTACACTGCAACAGCTGGTCTCGGGTGTACCGGACACACTCACGACCCTCAAATCTGGAGTCCCCAGTCTATAAGAGTAAACAGAAGTAAAAAATCCAATACTCCAAAGATTACCGAAAAACAAACATCTCATGAGATTGCCAAATAAACACATAGCTTATAACACAGACTTTCAGTGAAGAAGTTTTGTTCCGAAAAAAAAAAAAACTCACTCAAAGATCGAAATTTGACTTGGATACAACTTCCCAAAANCCCCAGTCTATAAGAGTAAACAGAAGTAAAAAATCCAATACTCAAAAGATTACCGAAAAACAAACATCTCATGAGATTGCCCAATAAACACAGCTTATAACACAGACTTTCAGTGAAGAAGTTTTGTTCCGAAAAAAAAAAAACTCACTCAAAGATCGAAATTTGACTTGGATACAACTTCCCAAAAGAATAAACAGGAGTAAGGTATACACAACTTCAAAATGTGGGTTCCCCTAAATGCTAGATATCATGCATAGTTAATGTTCAACTGCTGCTCACCATGCATAATAAACATGACTTCCATTATTCACTCAATCTACGGCCAAAAAGACAAACTGAAAGCCTGAAGAACCAACCATTTGTTAACCCGAAGGTCCCAAATCTATTTCATTTTGTGTCCACGTGCATGATTTGGACAGCAATAGGGAAAAGAAGGTNAAATCTACGGCCAAAAAGACAAACTGAAAGCCTGGAGAACCAACCATTTGTTAACCCGAAGGTCCCAAATCTATTTCATTTTGTGTCCACGTGCATGATTTGGACAGCAATAGGGAAAAGAAGGTATCTCACAAAAAATTATTCTAAAGAATCTTCTTTAGCAAATAGAGAATTGACCGAATCACCGATACAACAATAAATGCTGATATACCCTTTGTCAATTGGAAATACCCATGCAACCAGACAAAAAGGGAACAGGGACACTACCATCCTCTCCCCTAATGAAGCAGGGTCCAATGTAGAAGAGGTCATGCACTCAATAGCATGCAATGGTCACAAAAAGAAGTCACTACCAATTGCACATACTGGTGACTTGTGAGCCACTTTCAAATCAATGCCTAGCAAGAGATTGTTGAAAAAATTAAACATAAATTCCCACATATTGATTTCCCTTTGTATTTAGAAACCCATATATGGTAGTTTCTTTATCTACAGGTTGCTTTATGGGCAATCTGACACTTGCTGCATTATGTACAGCAGAATCACATCTTAAGCACCCTACGAAGAGTTAGGACATCAGAAATCAAATTTCTCATCCAGAAGGGACAGATCTTAGAACTCACAAACAACCGGCCACCTTCTTTCCTTTCTGAATAGTTGTTCCACAAGAAATGCTGTAGTTTTTGCATTCTTTCGAAATCGAAAAACAAAAAACTTACTGAACCATACAATAAAAAAAGAGCAATGTTATTGAGACCTAATTTACTGACCTAATTTGCTGACCTAATTCACTATGACTTTTGGATTAATTGTGGGCTCCATCAAACATTGGAACTTGGTGTTAATTTTGGGTGAAATTATCTAAAATAGCTAAAGAGGTGAGTTTAGCCAGTCTCTTAGAGATGCTCTTACAATCCCTTACTTTATTAGTCTTACCTTTCTGTTTAACAAGCCAAGTGTTACATGTGATAATGAAGAGCTCCTACTTGGATTGTGCATGAAAACCCAAACCATTTCTAAAGTGTTGACTTTCTAATGTGGCTGCACATATTTCAAAAGGAATGCCAGAAGATGAGGCTTGATATCTTTACGTTGGCATGAATGTGTTTGGAATTTTGGTGCCCTTCAAACCAGAAATTTCATTAACATGTGGTACTTGAACAAAGGCCCTGCACCAAAATTTATTGTTGAATCAGGATAGCTGCAAGAAGAGCTCTTAGCTTATGGGCTCGTGCAATTCTACTAATGTAAACTTCAGGAAATGAAGAAAGAAGTATCTTTTTTTTTTTTTGTTTCAAGTTGCTTAATTTTGATTAGAAGATGAGAATGAATTCTATGCAATCAATAATTGTTTACAGGCAACCAATTAAAATTTGACAACTATACAAATATACAAATTAATATTAAAAATTCTCAATAAATTAGTATAGCTATCGAATTTTGATTGACTGCCTGTAAAAATTGATTTACAAGTAAAAGAATTTTTTTTTTTAGAGGATATTGTGAATAAAAATAGAATAGGGTGGATTTAATTTTTAATGGAGTAAGTATAAACGGGGTGGTCTTAGTCTCTAATGGGTGGATATAGATGAAATGAAGTTTGTCTTTTAAAAGAAGAGAATTTATTTAAAAATGTGGGAATAACCCCACCCACTAAAAAATAGATTAAAATTCGAAAGTAATGGGACATCCATTTATCTTAATCTTCTAAGGTTCCTTTTAACTTTAAAGTAAAGTACCACTATATCCAACAAAAGATGCGACACTTTGAACATTCTAATTTTTTATTTAACTTTCAAGTGAAGTGTATCTATAATTATCACTTAATGATGAATAAATTATAAAATAAAGATTTTAAAATCCTTTCACTGGAATAATTTGTCTTTAGATATTTTGGTCTCAATCCATCTTACACAAAACATTTTCACCAACAGTCACTACCTCCAACAGCATAGCCCTTACTGCCGCCATTACTACCCTTGTTGTTGCCATTGCTGCCCTGTTGGCACCACCATTGGCCCCTCATTGTTGCCCCCACCACCTCCCCATCACAACCACCATTGTCCCTTCACCACGACAACTCCACCGCCCCATTCCACCTCAATTAATTAATTTATTCATTATCCCTAATTACCACCTTATCCATATTGTTTGTGATTTTTTTATATAATAAAATTATTGTATCATGCAAATTAGAATAAAACCGTAACAATCAAGATTGAAACAGTAACAAGTAAGAATAAAACATTAACACATAAATCTCTAAGTGAACAATATATAAACTCCCGCTCGTAGATCAGGAACTATTATTGAACTTTATGTAGATCAAGTCTAGTGTTTGATACTATGTCTTTAAGACAGATTTTGCTCTTACACTTTATGCTTATGAAAATCAAAGTGTTTACCTCTCATGATACAATGATCTTCATGCAATTGAAAGTAACACTCCAATTTAATTGCTCAGCGAATTGAAACCGTGTTGTGTACTCTTAGAATGCATACTGCCTTAATGCCGAAAATATGATGTAATGAGACTATCTGAATGCTGAAATTATTTGATGCAGAATGGAATAAATTTGGGTTATTTATAGATAGAATGGTGATTGATCCAAATAATCACCATGCGAACATATACAAGCCAGAAGATACCATTGGTTAACTGTTCATTTATGAAAAGACACCAACTCAAAAAAAATGAACTAGAAACAAGCAAAAATTCGAACTAGTGCAAATTTTAAATCCAACGTATATCAGAAATTAAATTCTGGATTAATAAATTCGAGCCTAATTCGTTAAACAATTTTTTTCTAAAAAGATAACGATGGGTCACACCCGAACCCGGCTCGTGGTCATGGCATGGCAGGCAGCACGTGTGGGTGGTTGAACCGAAGGCCGATAAGTGCTCGCTCCACTCATAAAAGTGTAGTACCCCTTAAGGCCCAACTCATAGAGCAAACTTAACATATATATGCACAAGTAGAATTTCTTCCTTAACCAATTTGAGATTGGTGTCAAATCTCACATCGTACAACCTTTATTTTCACAATCCAAATAGGTCACTTTGGAGCCTATTTTCTTATTCATTTCTTACTCGATTTAAGCAAGTGAATACATTACGTTATTTTCTTCATGAAATAGAATACAAATCCATAAAACTTTACTAGAAAACAATCAGGGGATCCCACTTTAATTTAGGCTTAAAGTCGACCAATAATTCAGTCTTTAATAACTAAAAACTATTTTAGTCCAATAATCCTCTACATAAAATGGGAATTTAGTTGTTAGTATGTAAATGATAATATTAATACACTATTGAGAGTGCATATTGGAAAGATCGTGCATCGAGATAGGTGGCTTTTAGCCTTGAACATTCCCTTGTCAAAACCCACTGGACTGTGTGAAGTTTAATATATCAGATAGAATAAACTTCACACAGTCTCTTTTCTAACACAATTGGTTCTTATGATTATATTTATTTTAGTCATAAACAACTCCTAATTTTTAGGAGTATTTTAGAAAATTCAACCTTTATAAATTCTCATAGAAGCGTTCCCTTTCACACCCGTATAGGTGACTCTTATTAGGAATATCCTACAATATCCAACTTGAATTTTCAAGGTATAAAAGTCATTAACTCTGCAGGCAACACTAGTTTATTATAGGAATAGGCATGAGAGATTATCTCTTTAGTGCTTCTTTTGAATCGCACATAATTTAGTTGTCTCTTTAAACCTAGATCTTGAGATCTCTAGTCAACTAGGTCGGATTGTCATTGAGGTGACTCTTACATCATAGGCTTTAGCTCCATTCTTTTCAATGTGTAATTTATTTGTTTTCTCGTCAAACCTTTAGTAAGTGGATTCGCTAAATTTTTCTTTGATTTTATATAGTCAATAGAAATAATCTCATTTGAGAGCAATTGTATTACGGTATTCACCCAAATCATTTAAATCATGAACCAGAGAAAACATATATCCAAATGCAATCAAGGAACACACAGCAGAAGGAATCCACCATCTTAATCAACAACAAATATTGCTCAAACAAATGCCAAAATGTAGTGACAAGACTATATGATGATATCAAATTTAAAACAACAATCCAAAATTCTACTAAGTCGAATAGCAATACTCAACAGCCAATCAAATGAACTTGCCATCCAAAGAGAAGTAAAATTATTGTAACACTATAGCCTCTCCAAAGATGTGGCTTATATGAAATTCCACACCCCTTAACAAATTGGGGAAGAAAAGTATTTCAGGTCGGGTCTTAATTTGGGATATATTTGGGTTTAGGTTAGGTTAGATTATGTTTGTTTTATTTAATTTTTGTTAAAGTGTAAAATAGTCATTTGCAGTTTCAGTTAGGTATGTTAGCTGCCTATTATAATAGGGGGTTTCACTATAATTTATCAAACGCGAGGGGATAAATCCGTTCAAGTGACAAACCTTAGATGTAATTTCTCCTTGCATTTTATTTTTCTCAAGGGTTGGTCGACAGCAACAAAGCCAAGCATAGGAGTGAGAGCATCTAAAAACTAAGATCAACCAGATGCACACACACACACACAGTTGCACACTAGCCACCAGACGGTCACACACAAACACAGATGTATACACAGAGAGAGATAGATGTTAAAATAAACAATAATATAACCTAGATCTGAAATAAAGGAGTATATATCTGCAAAAAATAAAATATGGATCTACAAAAATAAACCCTAAATCTAAAACAAAAATCATAGATCTGAAAAAAAAAAAAATCAAAGTGGAGATACGAACAAAGAGAGAGCTTACAGCTTCGCCGGAGAGATTACAGCTTCACCGAACATACAATGTAGACAAAGAGCAACGACCAGAGGAGTCGAACAAGTGAGCACAAGCGACGACCCAACTGTTCCTTTTCGATGACTAGCGAGTAGAAAAGGACGAGAAGTCAGCTGTTCATGCACTTTTATAGTGTAAGGAAGAAAATGAATGTTTTGCTGTTAAGATGGTTTGAAGCCGAAACCTCATTAATTGGGTGAAGAGACTTCTGCGTGTTTTTATTTTTTGGATGTTTTCAAAAACATCATTTTGGATATTTTCAAATTTTGTCATTGTTTTTAAAACATCAGTAAAAAAAAACAAAAATATTCACCAAACATGTTTTTTCCCAAAAAAAAATGAAAACAAAAACAGAAAAAAACGAAAACTTCCTTTTACTAAACACTACCTTAGTGTCACTGTTATAATTAAACATATAAACACATAAACAGAATATACAATTTTTTCACAAAATTTTTCCAAGTATGCCTGAAATACTACAAATTATAAAAAATAAGCTTTAACAATTTGTAATATTTTTAAACAAATTTAAACTACTATGAACATGAAGCAGAAACACAAAAAGTAATTATACAAATACAAATCTGTCTTAAGATTGTTATTTGTGGTTTTCCAATAAAGCAAAATTACTTACTAAAATCTCTGATTTGTGTCATTCAAATTAGAATAAGGGTTAATTGTCTTAAAGGTCCCCAAAGAATGAAGTTTGTCTCATTTTGGTCCATAAATTATTGAATATGTTTCTATCTGGTACTTTAAGCAGACAAAGTCCAGATTGCTAACGATTTTTTGATCATAAACTTGTTATATAATACCTAAATATGGACAAAAAATAATTTTGATAGCTCTTAAACAAAATTTGG